CCACCAGGCTAACCCATCCTCCCACCCCCCTCCCCTCTAGAACCCTCAGCCTGTTTTTCAGAGTCCATCATCTCCCATGGAGAACGAATGTTTATTAGTAAGTTACTACTTACTTATGATTCCTCCATAATTTGGAATAATAAGCAGTAGAAAAATTAATGAGAATATGTAAAGATCTCTAAAATATAACTGTACGTGAAGAATATAATGTTTGAAAAATGTGTTTAGCATACTTACATTTATATACAAAGAAAAAATAACGTCTTAGTTATGCACAAAAATTTTACAGAAATATAAACAAGAAAACTTCCTAGTAGTAGATACTTGTGGGGTGCAGATGGAGTACAGAGTGGGAGAGACAATTTTCACTTTATTTTTAATATAATTTTTTTAACTATGTGAATAAATTGTCTATTCAAGAAAAAAATTAACAAGAAAGAAAAAAAATTAGATCTGCATCTATTGAAATGGCCATGGCGTCTAAGTAACAAAGGCGAGTTAGGGATAACATGCGTCATGTGATTTCATTTTTGTAAAAAGTGCAGGGGTGAGGGGTTGCTGTGTCTAATTATGATTGTAGAGAAAGAGACATACACATTCACACAGAGTTTTAAAATTAGTTACCGCAGGAGTGTTAGCGGATCTTAACTCTTCCTTCATAGGTCTTTGGTCTATTTCACTTGTTAAAAACACATAACACTTTTGATATTTTTAATGGGATAATCAAAAAATTTTAAATTAATAAAAACATTTTTATGGTTGTGTTTTGCCACAACTAAAAATGAAATTTGTCCAAAATGTAAAGAAATGCAAACACTTTTTATTTTGTAGGTTGTTGTTATATGGATATATGATCCAGAAAATGCAGACCCCAGTGAGTTGCTGTGGAATGCAAATGAACCTTCACTAGTAGGTGGAAACATTGCTATTATCACAAATAAAATAATATGCTGTTTCCTTTTTAAGGGCTCTGAATAATATATTTTAAGCATTCCAGAACTAACTAAATACACCTTAATTGTCCATTATCTTTAGCCATTGTAGTGATTTTGAGCTACTGCTCAATCTCCACAGTTCTAAATCTTTCTCTTGAATTCTACTGAGCATTGTCTGTAATTTCTATGAACTGCATTATTCATGAAGATGCTAACGTTCAAAGTGCTTTAAAGATATTCCTGTGCATCTATCGTAAAACCATCCTTCAAAAATCTGTCCAGTCCCTTACTGAATCCTTTACCACTTGGAGACTAGTGAATTTCCTAAAGGTGCAGCGCAGCGGATAAATACAGATGGTTTTCAATTTATGGTGGCTTGACTTATGGTTTTTCAACTTAACCATAGTGCAAAAGTGATATGCATTCTATAGAAACTGTACTCTGAACTTGGGCCTTTTTTTCCCCAGACTAGCGGACTAGCAATATGTGGTATGATACCATCGCATGACGCTGGGGGGCAGCAGTGATCACAAGAGTTAATCAGTACACTTAAACTCTTCTGAACCCATACAACCGTTGTTTTCACTTTCAGTACAGTATTCAATGATTCACAGGAGATATTTAACAATTTATCATAAAATAGACCTTGTGTTAGATAATTTTGCCTAACTGTAGGCTAATGTAAGTGTTTTGAGCACATTTAAGGTAGGCTACGCTAAGCTATGGTGTTTGGTAGGTTGGGCGCATTGAATGCATTTTTGACATATCCCATCATAATTCAAGGAATATCTGTAAGTCTATTCTCTTATTTGCTACAAATTTACCTCTTTCAAGATTTAAGTTCTGTCTTCTGTTACAATTAAAATGTATTGAAGAGAAATATAAAATGAGCAGTTTTAATCTCATATGACTAATGAGTGAAGATCTGATTTTTGAATAGCATGTTACATGCCTCTTGGTAATGAAATTCACAAGAGATGGACTGATAAAGCAGAATGACAACCTATCAATTAATTGTTTTATTTGGAAGTGACTTTAGAGGGAATAAAATTAATCAATTGTAATTAAACACTTTAAACATTACTGTTACTTAATTTCTAATCTTTCTAAGTGAAAATATGTGTATTTTAACATTATTTTGTCCATGCATACCTAATACTTTGCTTTTTTTAAATTTCATGTTTATTCACTACCATGTCATTCCCACAAAACCTTTCTATGGCTCTTGGTTACCAACAGCAGACTCTTGACTCTTAACATGGCACACAAAGCCCTGGAATATTCTGTCTCTGCCACCCTTCTCTGGCCTCAGCTCTCCACGTGTCCTACCTCCAGCAACAGCACTCTGCTGTTTCCTTGCACTCACCTGCTGTTCCATGGCTCTGAGTCTTTGCTTATGCTGTTCCCTATATGGTAACTGCTCATTCCCTATGTTTATCTTCTCATGTTTTCCGTCTCAAGTCAGGTATCACTGCCCTCTAAGATGCTTGCCTTGACCAAATCAGGACTTTTTCATATGAGTAGTTTGAGGGCATTATTTTAATGCTACAGTTTTGATAAATCATCAACAAAACAGCTCTGGTAAAATAAATGTAAATTCTCTGTTTGTGTTTTTATCAGCCAACATGTAATGTGACTGACAGGCATTCAAATCATAATCCCACCCTTTACTCTTCATTCTCTTCCTGAACCACCTCTGACTTTGAACTCTAAATATTCCCTTATCTTTAACTCATTCCTGTATTTTATTACCTCTTTGAAACTCAACCCATCCCTGTCTCTCATTAACTTCCTCTATGAGCCTTACCCTATGCCCAGCACCCACACCAGGGAAAAGAGGACCAACAGTCGGGTATAGCTCAGGGGTGGGGTACAGAATAAATTACTGGTACAATTTAGTTAAAAAGTATTAAAAAGTTCAGGGTTTTATTTTGAGGTTTTTTCTTGACCATTTTAACTGTGAATTATAAAGAAAAAAGCATAAAAGTTTAGTATACAGTTTAATGAATAATAATTAGCCATATAACCACTATCAAGAAGTAAAACACTAAAAATAGTACAGAAGGTCCCCATACGTGCCACCTGCATGGACATTAATTTCTCCCTCCATCTTAGAAGTACTTGATGGATATAATCCCTTTGTTCCCTCTAAAGGTAACCATTATTCTGAATTTTACAGTAATAATTGCTCTGCTTTTATTTTTATTTTGCCTCATGATTCCTAAACAATGCAGTTTAGTAGGTTTTGGGTTTATTTTTCTGCTTTATATAAATGGAATCATGTTTTATATACACTGTGCATATTCCTTTTTGGGGGATCTACTTTATATAAGATTTATTTGTGTTATAATATACCTATAGTTTATTCATTTTTGTTCCTGTATGACATTTCATCATTTCAACATACTATACGTTTTTTATCCATTCTGCCATTGATGAATTTTGAGTTGGTTTATGTTTTGTTTTGTTTTGTTTGTAATGAGTGTTGGTTTCTTTTTTGTTCAGCTTTATTGAGATGCAAATGATATATAATATTGTATAAGTTTAGATGTACACTGCTGATTTGATACACTTATATATTATGAAATGGTTACCACAGTAGCATTTTTTTTTAAAGATTTTATTTATTTGAGAGAGAGAGAATGAGAGAGAAAGAACACATGAGAGGGGATAGGGTCAGAGGACGAAGCAGACTCCCTGCAGAGCAGGGAGCCCGATGCGGGACTCCATCCAGCGACTCCAGGATCATGACCTGAGCCGAAGGCAGTCGCTTAACCAACTGATCCACCCAGGCGCCCACACAGTAGCATTTTTTAACACCTTTATCACCTCACATAATTACAATTTCTTTCCTGTGGTAGGGTTATTTAAGATTTATCCTCTTATCAACTTTCAAGTATTTAATACTGCATCGTTAACTATGTTCACCATGCTATTTATTCAATTCCCAGAATTTATTCATCTTATAACTGGAAGTTTGTACCCTTTGACCACCATGTCCCCATTTTGCTCACCCCCTCAGACCCTGCAAACACCATTGTACTCTGTTTCTATGAGTTCAGCTTCTTTTAGATTCCACATACAAGCATATCATACAGTATTTGTCTTTCCTTGTCTGACTTATTTCACTTAGCATAATGCCCTCAAGGTCCATCCATGTTGTTGCAAATGGAGACATTTCCTTCTTTTTTTTTTTAAGATTTTATTTATTTATTTGACAGGGAGAGGCACAGCAAGAGAGGGAACACAAGCAGGG